GGGGTTGGGGTCGGACGAGATGCAGCAGCGGCAGGGGCGGCGGCAGCAGCTGCAGCAGAGGCGGCGGCAATGGCAACCAGAGCGTCAGGGCTTGTGGGGGTGGGGTCGACGAGGAGGCAGGGGGGGTGGCACGGCGGACGGGGACGGGCCGGCGGTGTGCCAGGGGAGCGGGCAAGGGCGGCACGCCGCTCATGCGAGGTGGGTTGAGACGCACTACAGGACCGTGCGGAGCCGCCTGCTGAACCACGCGGCGCCTGCAGATTCGCTGGCAGGCCCTGCCGAGCGCTGCGGGAACGCAGTCAGAGGGGTCCACGTCAGCGGCGCACTTTTTTGGCCCAGGTAAACTGGGACGCCATGTCGCCCCAAAAGCCGGCCGGGTCCGCGATTGAGCGGCGCCATAGGGCCTCGTATTCTTGGCGGCCGCTGATGAGCAGGGGCCGGTCGTAGCCCTATAGGTAATCGAGTCGGACAGGGGAGCCGCGGCGTACCGTGGATGTTGGGTGGCGCGGGCGGGCGGGTGGCGGTTTCGAGGCCGGGGCGGGTGAGTCGCCATTGTGGGGAGTGAGTCACGCCGGCTGGTGAACCCGTTGCCCAGCCTCCTGGCGGCAGGCGTGACGCGTGTGTGAGCGCGTAACAGCGGCGCGGGTGACAAACTCGCGCACCTGTGGCGTGGAGCTCGCCGGGGCACGCTGCAGTGCATCGCCCGCCTCGCCGTCCGGGGCAATCTGCTTCGCCAGCACTTGCAGCCGCTGCATGGCGAGCGTGCGCAGGCCTTTATATGCGCTTGATTGAGGTGCTGGCGGATGGAGGCCGCTCTCCGATGCTTGTGCCGATCGCCTGGATCGACGAGCGTCAACGAGATCAGCAACGATACCTGTGTGTGGTCAGGCAGCTACACCATGCTATAAAATTGCCCATAGCATGTTCATATGAGTCTCAATGACATCGCAGATGCCGATTGCACGTCACTGGCCTTCTGTCTCCCGCACAGGACACCGTTCTCGGGGCAAATGTGTGCTCAACAATTCGCTCAGATTACCGGAGCTATTCTGGCATAGCTGCAGCCTCAAAGTGATGGGTGCTGGTTGGGGTGACGCAATAGAACCCTTGACAGCCCACATCAGCACGTGCGTCACACGCCGCCGCCGCAATCCCGCGGAGATGAGGATGACAGTTGACCGCACGGGGTGATGGAGCAGCTCTCAGAGGACACCGTCAGCGCGCATTTTTGTTTTGTGCCTGGCACAGCGACCGCCGCAGCTATGCAAGACCAGGTGTGCATAGTCAGCATGGGAGTCACTGCATCAGTTGTGCGATTCGGGGAGTCGGCGGTAAAGCTCTTGCTGCGATGACACCCGTCGCAAACCTTGCTCTTCAACGGGCTGTGTGCATGAGTTCTCACTCAGAAAACACCACATTGAGCAGAAGTGCACTGTTAGCTTTTGGTTCAACCCATCCAAAGGGCTACATAACCCTCGCATGCATTCATGGCTATTTCAAATGGCCGGCGCCGCACCCCTTACGACTGGGTTCCACCGACAGAAGAAAGCGTCAGATGAGTCTGGAGACAAACGAAGCTACTGAAGGACACTGATTGGATGCAGTACAGGCGCCGCCGTCCTGGTCTTGCTTGTCGCCGGCGCCGCCGCCCACATACAATTGTGCCACAGCTTTGGCGCTGCCGCTGCCTGCCAGCTCCCTTAACCAGGATCTTGGCCGCTCCCGTGGGCCGCAGCAGCAGCAGCACCAGCGTCACACATGCTGTGCCGCCAGCCGCCACCCTCAAAAGCAGTTGAGGGCCAGCTGCCCCAGCTCTTCCTTCTTCAACTTGTGCACATGTGCACATATACATTATGTGAACACCGGCCGGGCCTTGTGCTTGGGACCACCCCAGCTTCAGTCATCTCCAGGCATCACCACTGCAGCGCTTTTCTTGACGCCCATACAATGCCACTGCCGTACTGCGAAGTTGGCGCCGCCTCTGAGCTGTAGAGCTTGAATGGCTGTATTTGCCGTCTGTGCCAGCACGGGCCAAGGGTGGGTGACAACGTGCCTGATGCGATGCGCCATTCATGACACACTATGCGACCACCAAACACCACATGGGTTCTGCCCAGCCGCCTAGGGTTGGTCGCTTGAATGTCATGCAGAAGTGTACACATGTGCACCTGTATACACAATGATTGCAGAAACTCCGTTGCGCACAACTTAAAAATATGAAAAACATAAAAGCTCAGTGAGCCGTGCAATTCTCTGCATGCATCACATCGCTGCACCACAATTACTACAACGACCAATCACCGCTCGCGCCATGGCGTGTGCTTGTTCTTAAAGTCCCAAGGATGTTGTGGATACGTTTCAATGTGCAGCCCCGGGTACCCACTCAGCGCGCGGAGGAACGCAGCGACCCACGCCTTGTCCGCGTGCGTTGTGCTGCCGTCCTCCATATCAATGGGCAGCAGCACTTTGGCAGTTCGCAGGCGCGGCGGCCTCAGGGGCCCCGCCAGGGGGCCCACCAGGCCCTCAAGGAGCTCTGGCGTCGCCTTGAAGTGGTCCATATGCGCCGACATTAGCACGCCTCCACCCGTCGGCACGCGTCCCGCTCGTTGGCTTAAGCGAATGAGGAAGCTCTCCAGTACCCCAAATCGTGGAATGCACGCGCGGAGGCAAGCGGGAAGCGACTCAAACTCCGACGCACCGTGCACAAAAGAGCAGGGGTCGACAGCGAGCAGGCGCAGGTGTGGGCCCAGCTGCTCCGCAAGCACGGGTAGCACACCCCCGACATCAAACCACATCCCAGCCGCTGCGCCGCGGGCCGCGCCCCCAACCGACAGTTCCTGCAGCTGCGTCCACCCGCTCGCCCAGGCGCGCAGGCTGGCCGCGCCGGCGGCGAGCCTGGAGCGATCGACGCGCTCCCAGCAGGGGTCGGTCGCCAAGCCCAGGCGCAGGGAGCGCAGCGCGGGCAGCTTCTGCTGGGCACCCAGTTCCACCAAGCAGATGCGGTCCGGCAGGTCCCAACTATCAGGCTCGGGGCTCCCTGCGCCCTGGGGCGGCGCCCTTGGCCGCAGGAGGTAGTAGGGCACGTCTTCCAGCGCCAGCTCGCGCAGCGATGCATGGCCCTCCCAAGAGCCCGGCAGGTCCAGGTCGAATGTGCTGCCAAGGAGCAAGCAGTCAAGCGCCGGCGCCACCCTCTTGAGCGCGCCGCCCTCCAGCAGTCCAAAGGAGCAGGCGGCCTGTAGGCGCCGCAGCCGCGGAAGCGCGGCGCGGCAGCCGCTGGTCAAGTGGAGGAAGCAGTGGCCGAGGTCGAGGGACTCGAGGTTTGGGAAGGCTGCAGCTGTGGCCAGCAAATCGCTGTCGTTCAAGGCATGTGGTCGCTGTTCCCTGCGTGGCCATATGCATATCCAGGCAATTGTTGTGATGCAGGCCGGCGGCGGGGGTCCCACCGCCCCGCCTGGTGTTCATGCTGATTGCAGTGGTGTGCAGGTCATGCGGGGCGCAAGGTGTGCAGAGCGGGCGCCTTTGCTGCCATGACGCATCCCATGGGCTGCGCCGGAGGGGGAGGGCAGCGGGCGGGCGCCCCCTGCACCTACCAGGTATCCGTGAGTTCCAAGCTGGTCACGCCGGTGACGACGCCAACCTCTGACAGCAGCTCCGCCAGAGGCAGGGTCCGAAACTTGGCGGTGACACTGACATGCCTGAGCGCATCGCATCGCGCAAGAGGACGCAGCAGGCAGGGGCTCTCCCCTCCAAGGCCGACCCGCGCCAGACGCGGCAGGCTGGGGCGCGCCGCGTAGCAGCCAGGGACGAGGGCGCGCGAGTCGGCGCTGAACAGCCCCGTGGCTGGTAGCGACACCTGGACCAGGCCTGTGAGGGCGGCCAGAGCCGCGCACATGTCACGCTGCAGCGGTACGGCTTCTGCGTCCGGGTCTAACGCAACCGCCTGCAGCGCGACCACATCGATCGCTGCAATGGCCGCCACCGTAGTCGGTGGCAGTCTGACTGTCAGCCTCAGGCGCCGCAGGCTGCCGGCCACGGGCGCGAGCGCCCGCAGCTGCTGCGGCTCCGCGTGGGCGTCGGCGGCCTCGAGGCGGGGGCACAAG